CGACGCCGCCACCCGTTACGTCTGGCACCTAAACCTACCCAGCCGCGACATGGTCCTCGAAGCATTCGCTGCTTGGCTACCAGTAGCAGAGAGAGAGTCGGGAGTAAAGCTGAAAAGCTTCCAGTCAGACGGAGGAGGAGAATACACCTCTCAGCAAGTCAAGCAGTACCTGGCGGAAAGGGGGATCAAGCAGCTCCTCTCTCTTCCCTACGCCCATCAACAGCAAGGTGTAGCAGAAAGAATGAACAGGACTCTGCAGAACAGCATGCGCAAACTGTTACGTGGCATGCGGCTACCCAACCACCAGTGGCCTGCAGCAATGGACCACGCTGTCATGCTGCACAACTTGCTGTCGTCATCGTCGCTTCCAAACAACGCATCACCGCATCTGCTGTGGACAGGGAAACAGGGCAGAACAAAAATGTTACGAGTGTTCGGATGCATAATACAGTATCGACCCCCAGCAGCACGAGCGGGCCGATTTTCACAACGCGCACAGTGGGGACTACACCTCGGCATCGAAAAGAATTACAACGCGTGGAAAATCTTCGACGTCCACTCCAAGGAAACAATAGCAGCACGTGACGTCATTTTCTACGAATGACTCACGCTCCAGACATACCTTGCCAACCTGCAAGAGGACCAAGATCCCACAGGTGGTCTTCGTGGCGACCGAGCCTTCGCCTCCGCAGAAGACGAAGCTGACTGGGACGAGCAGAATGTGGACAACGCGTCAGAAGAAGCCGGACCTCTTCCGTTCTGCTCCGTCGACGTTCCCATGGACGAAGACAACCCTCGCGAAAGTGTCAACGCTGAAACCTTCTACTACTTCGCCAACAACGGCTACGTAACACCTGCGATAGTCAACACCAACGAAGCAGAATGAGTAGGACCGAATTTCATACCTGATCCAGAAGTGGGAGATGAAGCAGCTTATCCCGAGGATGCAACTCTTCCCCGCTACTCACAGACTGGACTGCAGATACTCGACCTCGTCACCGCAGTCCACGGCAACACCCTTCCTAAGGAGCCTGCGATGGTTCAGCAAGCTCTGGGGAGGGAACACAGGGAAAAATGGCGTGAAGCCATGGACAGAGAGTTGAAGGCGCTGGAGGAACGGAACACCTGGAAAGTTGTCCCCATCAACGTGGCAAGGAACAAGACCATTCTCACCGGGAAATGGGTCTTCCGCGTTAAAACAAAAGCAGACGGCACAATTGAGAAGTTCAAAGCACGATGGGTTGTGCGTGGATTCGATCAGGAGCACGGACGGGACTTCACCGAGACATTCGCCCCGGTTAGCCGACATACCTCACTTCGAATCCTCCTCGCGATCGCCGCCATGAAGAAGAAGAAGCTGCGGCAAATCGACGTCGCTAACACATTCCTCTACGCACCCGTCGACGCAGAAATCTTCGTCGAGCTCCCACACGGTACCAACGGGGAGCCCAACCAGGTTTGCCAGATGCTGAAATCGCTCTACGGAATCAAACAAGCCCCGCGGCTGTGGCAACAGTACCTACACGCTCGCCTCATTCGCATCGGATTCCGCCAACTACCTCACGACCAAGGAATGTACCGACTCACGAAGGGTACCAACTACATCCTGCTGATCGTCTACGCAGACGACCTACTCTACATCGGCTCCACTGACGACATCACCACCTGGTTCGAAGGGGAGTTACAGAGGGACCTCACACTCACGGTCTCCTCTACCGTCACACAGTACCTCGGCTTGAACATTCGGGAAGAAGAAGGCGCGATCTACCTCAACGCCGCTAAGTACGCCGACACCATCGCCAAACGCTTCGCGCTCATGCCTACCACCATTTCTACACCCTACCGCTACGCGACAGGAAACCACGAGGAAGGATCCACTCTACTCAAATCCGCCGGGATACGCGACTACCAGAGAAAGCTAGGATGCCTTCTCTTCGCAGCTGTTACCTGCCGCCCCGACCTCTCATACTCCGCAAGCCAGCTCGCCACTCATCTCAAGAGGCCTGAAGCAAAACACATGGCCGAACTCGACCGTGCTCTACACTATCTCGTCAGTACACCAACGATCGGCTTAACATATCACAAGAACGCGACCACGCCGCCCAAGCTAATCGGTTACGTCGACGCAGATCACGCGGGCGACTCCGACAACAGACGATCGCGCACCGGCTACATCTATCGCTTCGAGCCTATCGGGCCTATCTCCTGGCAATCGAGCAAGCAGGAACTAATTGCTCTCTCATCAGCTGAAGCAGAATATATTGCACTTTGTTCAGCCACCAAGGAAGGACTCTATCTTCGCGAGCTGCTGGAAGAAGCGAAGTTAGCCGAGTTACCCAGCTTTACTTTGTTCTGCGACAACCAGTCGGCAATTCGCATCGCCAACAAGAACAGTTTCGCGAACAAGACAAAACACATCGCCCTGCGATATTTCTTCGTGAAGGACGAGATTGAGAAAGGAAGGCTCGAGCTGTCATACTGTCCTACGTCCGAGATGGCAGCTGACTACTTGACCAAGAAGCTCGGAAAGCAGAAGTTCGAATATTGCATGCTGCTGTCTGGACAGAGCCATGTTAGCGACACTCCAGAAGCGAAGGGGAGTGTTGGAAACAATCGGTCCTAAGCGCCTCTGTCGTGTCGAAACACTAAGGCACAAACGAAGCAAACATATCGAAGCACCGGCGAGTCGACCCTCGGAGGTTGAAGTAACAGCTGGAGGTTACGCGAAGGTCAAAGGCCAGCGACCTTTGACTTGACAAATGCAGCACGACAGCAAGGACACACAACTGACTCGATATTGAGCAGTTGCCCGAGTCGCACTGTATCGAACCGCAACAGCCAACAGTAAAACGGTTATCATTCGTATCTCTTCGTATTCCTTGTAATCTTTTATAAAATCTTGTATCTCTTGGTTTCAATCAACTTACTTTGCCCTCACATACTAGCGCAAGGTGGTTCAGAATCTCTTTATTAACGCTTCCGCTACTACATCACTCTACCCAGAGTTTAACTGTACCAAAGATCCTAAGGGGCACTCAGCCCAACAATCGTGAACCTGCGCTACACAATTTCATCTCTCGGCAGGGCCCAAAATATCAGGGTAAAACGCCCTGATTACCCTGGGGGCCGGCCGCTTTTTCAGGATTACCTTGCCAAAATCAGGATTGCACGATAGTTACCCTTCTGCCAAAAGAGCATGTTTTTTTTTACCTTGATTGGATTTATGGTTAGCCTGACGGTGTCAGAGTAGGGTGTAGACTACCCTGATACCGAAACTTCTTTACCGCGGATCGGGCCTTATTCCGCGTGGTGACGAACTGTACCACACTCACACAAACAGACATTTCCAAAAAGCCCTGACAGCAAATTCGCCCTGACACGGTAGTTTCGTGCTGTCAGAGCACAACGAATTCGCTCAATCACAATTTTGCGCTGTCAAAGAGCAGAAAATTTGCCCAATCACAGCGGAATTACCCTGACACAAGAGCAGATTCGCCCTTACACGAGATTCGCCATGTCAGACCCTGTTGTGAGTGCTACTTTATTATGTTAGTATAAAAAACTTAGCTCACAAAATAGTAGCCGAAACAGGCTCAGCTTAAAACTACCCTGCTCAAATCAGGCTAAAGGTGGATTTACCCTGCTGCAAACAGGGTACGAAAATTTTCACCCTAGGGGTCGGGCTAAGGAGGGGCTGGTACCCTGATTTGTAAGGGTAGGCCTAAACCAATTTTGGGCCCTATCTGTCGGGCGACTCGGCTGAATTCTGTCGTTTTGAACTAGCTTCCACGTGCGAGTACTTGCGACAGACACGTCATGCAAGAATGCATGCGAATCGTTGTGTTGGCGGCGGCTTCGCGAGTTTCTGAACGGTCCGTTCATATTTGCAATTATCCCGCCACTTTTATAGATACATGCCACTCGTCTGGGCTTGATTGGGTATAATGTGTTCAGAATCTGGTAATAAAGGCGCCATCGATCGTAACACAATTCATTCGCCGCGATTTCTGACGATACGCACCGGTGGCAACCACTGCCAGGATTATGCCACATGGGACTGACAAGTGAATTGTTGTTGTTCCTAGCTGTTGTTCGAAGTTTCAGGGATTCCGAGTCCATCATACTCCAACACCAGATGCAGTTCTACATGGCGTAATCATGTGCTCGCGTCTCGCCGTTCAAAAACCCGGGCAGCGGATGATCATCTATATATTGCGAGTGGATAACCTAGGTGTTGTATCAGATCCACAATGGAGGAACCTCCGGCTAATGGCCGTGACATGTATAACATTATCCTGGAGCAGTTCGACATAGAGTTTGAACCCGAGGAGGGGCCTACTATCAATGACAACGCTGCCATTCAAGAGGGTAACTGGTACTCTTCGCGGGATCATTGCCTCTTTGCCTTGCTTGATGATGCGGTAGTGCATAAATACAGTTTCTATATGAAGTCTACCAGAAAAGCATCGGCGCTAGCGTTGTGCAAGAGTTAGAAGCTAGGGTTGGACCCCCCTTGTCCATGGCGGTGCAGCTACGCTCGTCTCGAGCGGAACGAACCGTGGCAAATCGTAGAGCTGTCCGATCCCGCAGAGCACACATGCGACCGTGTCTACCGGACCCGGTGGTGGCCCGGTATGGGACGTAAGAGGAAGTACCTTTGGCGGAAATTCGGCAACTTCGTCCGTGCAGCGCCGTTCAACGCCCCTTGGGACTACGCCAGGCACATTACGGCCTGCTCTGGTCCGAAGTTAACTTACAACAATGCGTACCGGTGAGTGTACACCCATCATAGGCCGAACATCAAGGGAGCTTTTCTTTTAGCGACTGTGTTGCCTCCACTTCACTCATTTCCCAATACCACCCATATTTCACCCACGTAGGTTGAAGGTAGGCATCACGGCGCAGCGATTCGGCGACTGGTGCGAGTCATTCCGCTACATTCCGGCGGTGCAAGAGCGCATTCGGCAGATCGACAGCGGAGCAACCGTGGAGCTTTTGACTTACAACCACGAATTTCTCCGCTTCTTCATGGCGCCGAGTGCAACATGCGAAGCACTGAAGACGTGCAGGCCTGTCACCGCACTGGACGGGACTTTCCTGATCCGTGCTCAGAAGGCTACTGTGCTGTACGCCAACGCGATGGACAGCAATCAGCAGATCATCACCATCGTGTGGGCGCTCGTAGAGAGCGAAACCAAGGACACATGGACTTGGTTTTGCCGGCTCTTTGATAAACACTGCTCCGACTGGAAGGGATGGGACGACGCGGCCATCATCAGCGACCGGGACAAAGGTCTCATCCCGACGGTGAAGGAAGTGTTCCCTGAGAAGGTGGCACACTACTTTAGTGGGTGGCACATGCAGCAGAACGTGAAGCGGTTCGGGAAGACTTCCGCGGACATGTTATGGCGGCTTTTGACAGCCCGGTCTTTGGACAAGTATAACGAGCTCAAGGTCGGTGCACAGGAATCCCATCCCCTGCTCACGACTTACCTCTACGGTCCGGCGCCTGTGGCCGACGCGCCCGGGCCAAACCCCACTCCACCAGTTGGCCTTCGTATTCGCCAACGCAACGTTTAGCAAACACGCCGGACGCGTGTGACCGCCAACAACATTGCGGCCGAAGCGGCTGAAGCACGGCGGCGTGCTCGCCAAGCACAGTCGCAGCGACGCGGCCGCTGACAGAGACAGGGCGGCGCAGGACGCCCACCTCCGGATGCCGCAGCGGCGGGGCGTTCAGCAGCGCCCCGCCACTCCGCGGCACCGTCACTCGCTGCTGCGGCCCGCCGTCCGCGGCACCTGCATCATCCGCAGCGCCCGGCCCATCTGCAGCGCCAAGGCCGTCCGCAGCGCCCCGCCCGTCCCCATCACCGTCACCCACTGCTGCGACCCGCCCATCCGCTGCACATGCATCGTCCATAGCGCCGAGCCCATCTGCAGCGCCAGGGCCGTCCGCAGCGCCCCGCCCGTCCACAGCACCGTCGCCTGCTGCTGCGACCCGCCAAGCCGCTGCACGTGCATCGTCCGCAGCGCCGAGCCCATCTGCAGCGCCAGGGCCGTCCGCGGCGCCCCGCCCGTCCACAGCACCATCGCCCGCTACTGCGACCCGCCAAGCCGCTGCACGTGCATCGTCCGCAGCGCCGAGCCCATCTGCAGCGCCAGGGCTGTTCGCAGCGCCCCGCCCGTCCACAGCACCGTCGCCCGCTGCTGCGACCCGCCCAGCCGCTGCACATGCATCGTCCGCAGCGCCCAGCCCATCTGCAGCGCCAGGGCCGTCCGCAGCGCCCCGCCCGTCCACAGCACCGTCGCCTACTGCCGCGACCCGCCCAGCCGCTGCACATGCATCGTCCGCAGTGCCGAGCCCATCTGCAGCGCCAGGGCCGTCCGCAGCGCCCCGCCCGTCCACAGCACCGTCGCTCGCTGCCGCGACCCGCCCAGCCGGTGCACATACATCGTCCGCAGCGCCCAGCCCATCTGCAGCGCCAGGGCCGTCCGCAGCGCCCCTCCCGTCCACAGCACCGTCGCCCGCTGCTGCGACCCGCCCAGCCGCTGCACATGCATCGTCCGCAGCGCCCAGCCCATCTGCAGCGCCAGGGCCGTCCGCAGCGCCCTGCCCGTCCACAGCACCGTCGCCCGCTGCTGCGACCCGCCAGCCGCTGCACATGCATCGTCCGCAGCGGCCATCCCATCTGCAGCGCCAGGGCCGTCCGCAGCGCCCCGCCCGTCCACAGCACCGACACCCAATTCAGCTACACGCACATCCGCATCATCCGCAACGCCGTCACCATCCACTCCGTACGACCCATCTGCTGCAAAAGGTTCGTTTGAACAACGGTTTGTCAATGCGCCCCTCCGTTCTTTAGTACCATGATATGTGTGGTAGTAACGACTACATCCACGATGTAATCTGTACATATTTGTGTTAAGGTCTCATACATGAGAGGCCGTCTTAAAGTGATAGGGTACTGCTCATTTGGTACCGTAAAACGCACAGCCATAATTTCCGTTTCCGTGGCCCTATTGCAGCCCATCATGCAGGAACAACCGCACCATCCTATTCCCAGCCGGAGCCACCTCCACTTCGACGATCCTCACCGATAGTCGTGCCTAGCGGATGGCGAGGAATAGCTGCGTGCTATAGCTTTCGCAACATTGTTCTGAGAGCTGCGGTTCCAGGAGTCACCCCACCAACTGAGGCACCAAACCGAAAGCCACCACCGACCGCGGCACCCACCCGCCAGCCACCACCGACCGCGGCAGCAACCCGTGACCCTCCTCCTCCCACCGTGGACCCGGGAACGGCGCTTGGGAACACCAACGAGGAGAGGCCTAGTGTTGTAGAAGACGAGGCGACCGTCGTGGAAGAGGACTCCCTAGAGGACGGTGAGGATGGTGTGCGCGTCCGAACAGGCCTTCGCGGTGATTACACTGCACACAGGAACAGAATCTGGGTGTACGAGAAGCAGTGGGCTCGATGTGCGGCACCAACGAGAAGATTCGACATCTACACGAGCAACACGGCGGAGTCGACCAACGGGGCCGTAAAATCCATCCGGCGCCTGCCACCCGTGTATCTGTTAGCATCAATGTGGGACTACAACGTCAAGAATTTTCATGAGCGGCGTGAGGAGGCTAGAGCCCGAGATGACTACTTTACGGAGTGGGGGAGAAAACGGTATGAGGAGAAGTGCGAGCGGGCAAAGAACAACGAGGTGAAAATCTCCAACATCGAGTTCTTCGCGGAGGTGATAAACAACGGCAACGCGACGGACCCAACCCCACGCAGCTACAACGTCGACCTACGTGGTGAGGGTAGCTGTGAGTGCGGCAATTGGAAAGAGTACGTTTTTCTGTGCGCACATGCCATGGCGTTTTTCCCCTAGGCAAACAAGAACGGGTGGGAGTATGTCAGCGACTACTACACCACAGTCCACCTCCGCCGCACATACTCCCACACCATTCCCGGGACCTGCATCGACACCCTGATGGCACAGACAACACCTGTGCCTCAGGGAGTGTGTGACGCGCCTACATTCACTCGTAGGGGTCCTGGCCGTCCCCCTTCCTACAGGCGCAGGGATGTGTCAGAGGTCCACTGGTGATCCCCGATTGATCCTAGGGAAGGGTTACAGGCACGTTGGCCTGGGGGGTTATGGGCGCACTTACCCGCTACACAAACAAGCCCTTTTATCCCAGTGGTTAGTGGCTGGGATTCTGACATGTTATAAGAGCGAAGGTCTCGGGTTCGAATCCCAGCGTGTGCACTTCGGGCATCCCAGTGCGGTGGGGTGTCAGAGGTCCACTGGTGATCCCCGATTGATCCTAGGGAAGGGTTACAGGCACGTGCTTGGGGGGCTATGGGCGCACTTACCCGCTACACAAACAAGCCCTTTTATCCCAGTGGTTAGTGGCTGGGATTCTGACAGAATGCTCCGCCGGCGAACTATCGCTGCAGAACCTGCTTGAGGCCTAACCACAACTCAGCTACCTGCACCCAAGAGTATGGATCCGACAGGCCTGCGGGAGGTGTTTACCACACGGTAGGATGATTTTAGCAGGATTTTAGCAGATGGTAATCGTACTAGACTTGGTGCACTGAGCTGCATAGTCGACACCTAGTACAGTGGCCGTCGAGAATAATCAATGTAGCTTCCATGTGTAATTCATCAACTACTTTGCCCACTTCTATATGTGTTTGAACTTTGTAGATGGTGAATATGTAATATGGCGCCGAAATCTTTAGAACTAGGGTTTCGGGATACATCTAACAAACCCGGTACAGTCGCAATCCCAATTGCCGTCCATAGATGTTAGGCCGTTGTTGACCAGCCAAACCTGTGCACACAGGGTTTCAGGACTCCTGGCGTATCGATCTCTAGGTGCTCGAAATGCTAAAAAATAGTGACAGCTCACGATGTGTAATCGTCAACCCGATTGGTTTGTGTTTTTGAACGAAATAAACTGTGACAAAGCCACCACATAGGGTTGAACATGTGGATTGCTCCTCTGGCAACCAACCACACGCGCTCGCGTAGTATCAAAATCAATAACTCATTTTCCAAACAACACTCATCGTGCTAAAAAACATTAGCTGCAGTCACCCGTCCAATTGCCTCCAACACATGTTAGTCCCGAGATTGCGTTTCGTCCATATGTTTTTTAACATCGAAACCTGTGCTAACGAATGTTTAGTATTCCGACGTCGTGATCTACAGTGCGTTTAACTGCTAAACATCACTGCCACGTCGATACTGTTTATCAGAAACCCAATTGGATGGTGGTTCTTTTACGAAATTAACATTGACGAATTAACGGCATAGGGTCGGACACGTGGATTGACCGATCACGAATCTGCAACACTATAACGTACAACCAAACTCATCGTGTTTAAAAACAATAACCCTAGTCACCAGGCCAGCTGCCTCACACACATTAAGTCGCTAGTTTGCGATTCGTTCTGACGTTTTTTTGTCAAATGCACAACCTAAAAAGGCAAAGCAAGTTTGTGCAAAATTTTGACAGATTGTTGGAAGGTGCATCGGCGCCTGCAGAGGTAGATGGCTTGTTGCGCCAACGGGCGCAACGACTGAAGGTTATGGCGCATCCTCGCAAAGGCCGCACGTTGTGTGATCCTGCACAACATTTGGGGAAAGATGGTTGACGTTAGGAGTATGCACATGGCAACCGTGACCCTGCTTGGACAAGGGGTCCCATCTTGGATTAGATCGCGGATTACATGTGTGTTCAGGCGACACAACAAGCTCTGATGGAGAGACGGAAAAGACCGGTAGAAGACTCTTACGCTAATCGTCGGCGCCGCGCGCCCATATCTCCACATCGTGATCACTTGGAGAGACGGTGTTTACGTCGGCGGCATCGCTGCTATGCACGCCCACGTCGCCTCCAGCAGTGTGTGGCGCACGTCTATCGGGAGGTGGTGCAGTCTCCCCGCGTGGCAGAGGAAGTGTGACGACGTTATTCGCTCCACGTTGCACATGTTGGGGCGCTGATACAATCATGCGCTCGCGGGCAATGCGCAAATCCTGCGCCATCCACTCACGGACGAGACCCTCCATGCGCGTCATAGCGTCCCCGTGACAGTCTTTGATGGTCGCGCAGACAAGCTAGGCGGCTTGCATTGTGGTCGTCTCATGCACCCGGGCGCGCTTAGGTGTAGCAGTGGTTTGCGGCGGTGGCGCTGAAAGCGGGACGGAAAGAAGTGCACTTAGTATGACCAGTAGCTACAAAGCTCTGTGAGGATACCGTTCCATGATGCATGTACACACACAGTTTGTTGACGCATGTTTACCAAACAGGCAACGTAACCAACCGGTTCACATGCACATAAACAACTGGATCACACCTGTAAAGGTCGGTGTCAACGTCACTGGCTGAGAGGAGCTTGGAACGTTGTCCACGTTGGCGTTCGTGGCGGTGCCGCCGTCCACTACAAGCGGGGCGGATGCAGCGGTGTCCTTGGAGTATAGCTCCAGGTATGGCCACCATGGCGGTTTCTCCACATAACCGATGCCCTCACTGACATCTACTTGTTTATACTCGTCCCACGCGGCCATCAACTTGCGCCACTGCTGCCGCATCGCGTTGACATTCCTGCACCAATCCGGGTTCGGCTCTTTGATGTGAGCGTGGAGGCTGACCCAGTATTGTGCCCCCTGCTTGCCGTTGTGGGTCTCGGGTTTGTCTTTGGTAATCCACCGCGCCGCGGCGAAGACAGTGCTTTCCTTGTCCGTCCACATGCCCCTCTCGACTGGGGCAGTCGACCGCTTCTTCCGGGGCTCCTGTCGAGGCGTTAGTGCAACCGCCTTGCCTTTGCCTTTGTCAAGGGCTACGCCACGTGCGGAGATCTGTTTCGGCGGCGAAGTCACAGGATGCGCTTTCTCCTCCGCGTCGTCGTCAACGTCGTCGTCGTCGCCCTCATTGTATATAGGAGACCATCCCACGATCTTCCTGCTCGTCATCCTCGTCGTCGGTGCCTTCGGCCTCGCCTTCGAAATCGTCGTCGTCGTCGACAACTGCTTTCTCCGCCACGGGCCACACTATTGCGGCGGTTCTTGTAGGCTGACGGCGCACGCGTGACGGACCCGTGCTGGGTGACGGTTCACTAGAACCCTGCCCGTCAGGCCCGGGCGCCGCGGATAAGCCGGCCAGATGACGGCCTTTAGCTAATTGCTGGTTTATCCAGCGGATGTAAGGGATCTCGTTAAGGTCCTTTGGGCAGTCGTTAAGGGACTGGCCTTTACGCTTGCGCGCCATGACGGGAACGGGCTGCGTTTCTAGATCTAGATCTAACGGGGCAGAGATCTAAACAAGGAAGGATTGACTGGAACACAAGTGAAACGTGTAGTTATGTTTGGAGGAGGGAGCGTTGTTGGTGAAGTGGGGAGGGACCCGGGGAGAAGGTGCACCACAGGCAGTTGCGCGCGCCTGTCAACAATTTCAGCTGCGTTTTATCGACCAATCACACAACATCGTAGGCGTTGATAGGGACTGATGTGACCGTTGAATGTTATCCGGGTACATTCAGCATGGGGGGATTTTTGGCACCTCGTGCGACGGAGGTAATGACCTCCGCTGTCATGCAATTAGCACGCGACTAAATGTGTAAAAGGTGAAGAGTGCTAATTAGCACGCGACTAAATGTGC